GACTCGCTCTTCTGGAGGAACCATTTCCACAGCTCCTTTTGCCAGCAAATTCATCACCTCTGAGCACAGGACATGAGCGTCCTTGCTTTGCACTGAGGTGGGGACCACGCAGCTGAAGCGTGGGGGTCTTCGAGCGAATTGGAGTGAATATCCTTGCTTTATTATCCCCATAACCCATCTCGACACTCCGGGGATGGTTATTTTTTCCGCTATCACAGCGGTTGAATGCTTGGGCGCATGAACGGGCCCGTTGTTTGCACAAAACACATTTCCCTCTGTACCCGGAGTTGAACAGGGTGTCAAGAGGTCTAAAAGAGGCTGCTTGAGGGGCGGTCCGGCCGTAGCGAAATCTGACCCCGTCCTCTTCCTGTCTCGCAGATCAGGATGACGCCTGAGGCGCCGGGTCCAACGCAATCTTGGGTCGGGGTCCCTGGCGCTTAGGAAGAGGGTAGCGTTTGGCCGAGCGAGAGCGTCCCCGCATCTGCTGCGCTTTAGCGGCCTGAACGGCGGGGGCGGCAGGTCCTGGTTTCGCGGGCTGCTGAGTCAGTGCAGACTTAGGGCTAGCTGAGGCAGCAGCGGAGCTGGAGCGCTTAGGCAGGAAATGTTGCATAGCCTGGGACGATTTCTGTGCCTCCGTGAGGCACTCAGCGAATCCTTCGACCGCCAGGCTGAAAAGGCCTTTGGGAGAGACTGGAGCATCGAGGAAGGGGATCTTATCCGCGTCCTTAATCTCTGTCAGCGTCAGCCACAAATGGCACTCGAGCACCACAAGTCTGTCCATCGATCTCCCGATCGCCTGAGATCCCTGAGGGTAGCGGGGTTCAGGCCAGACTCATCGGAGGATGCGAGGATTTTGGCCTGGAAGACCTGGAGGACCGCCATTGAATGAAGCGCCGAAGCTGCCTGTCCAGCTGAAGTGTAGTCGTGTCCAGCGAGAGCTGAAGAGGTCCTACACGGCTTGGATGGGTGAGCGGCCTTTGCTCTCCAGCCGATGGCCATGGGCGGGCAGAGATGCGCTGCCACTGACTCATCTAGGGGAGGTGACTTATCGTACCCCTTTTCTTCAGCGTCGTCGATGGAAGTGAGGGCAGATGAAGAAGCAGTACGTTGGCGGACGGAGTAGGGAGCGCGCCACGATCTGGTGAGCTCGTCATGGACCTCCGGGAAAAACGGAGAGGAACGCTGACGAGGGGCCTGGCGGCGCCCCTGAACCATTCAT